GTAGCACCATTTTGGGAAGGCCTGAGACCATGTGATCTGGAGGAAAGATTACAGAACTGAGAGTCAGGAGACTTGACTTCTCCTTCTGGTTCATTCATTCATTACAAATTTATTGAGACTCTGCAAGATTCTAAACCCTGGCTTAAGTTCTGGAAAACTTAAAATAATTAAAATAAAATAAAATAAAGATATTACTTAATAATGTCAATAATAATAACATTTTGAGTGAGTAATTTGTGTAAAGTACTATCTTAAGTAGTTCACATTGACTGGGTACTTTAAATATTAGAATAATCTACTGAGGTAGGTAGTGTTTTTATACCCATTTTTCAGAAGTGGAATTTGAGGTGAAGAAATCGCAAAGACAGACTATTTCTGCTCCACGGGAGCTTATATTCTAATAGTTATGCCTCCAATTAACAGAATGACTTTTCGTGACTTTTCAGTCTGTTTCCTCTTCTATAGCCATACAATAATAGCTAAATACGTTACGCGCTTGCTTTGAGCCATACATTGCATTTTATTTAGTCCTCACAATGGCCTTGTGAAGTAATTAGTATTATCATTTCCATTTTGCAGATGAAGAAACTAAGGTTCCGGGAGGCTAAGTGATTTTCCCAAGACACCACATCAAGGATTTAAACCCAGGCAGTCTGACTCCGCACTACAATATAACACACCTAAAATTAGGAGACTGAACCAAATCTTGGCAATTGCATGTTGTTAGAATGTTCTATCGCATTCCTATAAATTCCCTGAATCTAACAGAGTTAATGACCCAGACACTTTTGTGCTAACAGATTATAAGGGGCAGACGAAGAAAAAGCCACAACCTAAGGACAAGTTGTAACAGGGGAAAATCCACTTGACGTCCGTGGGCAATGGCCACAGAGCCAACACAAGCTCGGCCATCTGTGGGTGATGGCACAGATAGGCTGTGCCCCCTGCGGACCCAGACCCAGCACTGCCTGGGAATGTTCCCTTTAGCATGGAGACCTCGAGGAACAGGGAATCATTGACTCTGTGCGTCCAGGGATTTGTTTCAGCCCAGATCCACCATGTAACCTTTCCCGATCCAGTTGAACAGGAAAGGGTTTAAATTGAGGTCCTGAACTGAAAGAAGAACACATTAATCGTGCTCATTGCTGGAGTCAGAAACAAATTCATTTTTCCTGTAAGGAGCGTTATCAAGCAGGAAATCAAGTCCACAGGTGAGGGAGGTGGGGAGGTGCTGAGAGGAAGTGACAGAGGTGCCCCTGCAGCCGCTAGTCATTGTATCTCCACACTCTATAGAACTTTATACACAAAATAGGTCTCCATAAACCACGCGCCACCATTTGGCTGATATGATGGATGACTCAAAATGGAATGGATGCTCCACAATTTGAGAACTTCAACTTGTCCAGAGCCCAAGTGATTCATTTTTTTTCATTCAGCATCTATTCAGTGAATGCCCACTAAGCTCCAGGCCTAAGGAATTTAACAGAGAACCGAATAAAAATCGACCCTGCCTTTCTCAAGATTATTTCTAAATACAGAAAATAATTAAAGAGCATGATAACTCTGGATAAACCAAGAGTTAAACCTGGTAACTTTAAGTGATGATAAATGTTATAAAGGGCACACACAGGATGATCTGATGGAGAAAGGCCGGAGATGGGACCACTTAGATACAATGGTCAGGGGAGATTTCTATTTTGAGGAGACATTGGACCTGAAGGGTGAGAAGAATCTAGGTGATGAGCAGAGGAGGAGAGTGCTGGGCAGAGGGAAGAGGCCTCTGAAGCAGGAGCAAGTGTGGCTGTCCGAGGACTTAAGTGGGGGCCACCATGGCTGGTGGGTAACGGGAGAAGCCCCTGGAACGAGATGTGAGAGAAGAAGCTAGGGCAGGGCAGGGTCACACAGGGTTTTGTGCATCATGCTAAGGAGGCAGGTTTTACTCTAAGACCAAGTGAAGCTTTTAAAAATATATATATGTGTGTTTTATTGATTTCAGAAAGAGGAAAGGAGAGAGAAAGAGATATATAAACATCAATAATGAGAGAGAATCATTGATGGGCTGCCTTCTGTACACCCCTGCTGGGGATCGAGCCTGAAACCTGGGCATGTGCCCTCACTGGGAATCAAAGCATGATTCATAGGTCGAGGCTCAACTACTGAACCACACTGGCTGGGCAACAAATGAAGCTTTTTAAGCAAAGGATTTGCTTTAGAAAAAGATCGCTCTGCTACAGTGTGGAGAATGAGTTACAAAGGTCCTAGAATGGTGGCAGGGAGACCAAATAGAAGATCATCACAGTCATCCAAGTGGGAGCTGACGGTGACTTGGATTAGGCGGGGGCAGTGAGCTAGGGAAAAGTGGATAGATTTAAGAGCTATTCTGGAGGTGCTAATGAATTAGGTGTGGGGATGAGCCAAAGGGCATATCTGTGCCCTTATATCACAATTTTTCTGTATTTGAAGCTCTCCTTCATGAATTTTGTTCAGCTTCATACATTACAGATATCCCCAGGGGTGAAACACAATTACCCAGTCTGAGTCTCTCCTGTTCTTCTCTTGTGCTGATGACCATGACCACAGGAGGGAGGAGAGAGAGCCAAGGGCCTGGCTGACCCACCACCTGGACCCGCAGCCTCCCGGCATAATCAGCTTCTGGGCTGGCTTTGACCAGAGAGTCCCACCTGGAGGAAGCCAGTGATGCAAAGTGTTGGGCACAGAACATTGGAAATGGCCTTGCCAGCCATTTCAGATCTGCCTCATCCCATCACAGAGGAACAGGGGTGGAATGGGTTGAAGTTGGCGGGGGGGGGGGGGATGGAGGGCAGAGGCAGGCTTGCTTTGCCTTAGCTAGAAAGGCTATCCCTTAGCTACCTTGAATTAACAGAAAGGAATATAACCACATCTGAATCCTGATGTCTCTGAACTTGTCAGAACGTGTCTCTGATTTGCAGCACAAATGGGAGTGGGTGGTAAAAATTTAACCAAAACATTATCCTGTAACTCAGGTCCCCTCCCTCCCCAGCACCCCCAGTCCCCTCTCCTGCTGACCCCGGCATGCTGCCTCACAGAGGCCAGGTCTGGGCCAGAGGGAATCATGGAAATATTGTCCTTTTGTGCCCTAGTCAAAGCCAATTAGACACAAAGAGAGGGAGATGGAGGCCCTTGAATATTTTTTTCTTTAAAACAAAATATACAAACTGGCTTGAGTGATCTGCCTTGAAAAAAAAAAAAACACAGAGGAAATGAAGTAGAATCCTAGATGGGAGGAAAAGCAGGATTGCTGGAGAGAGAACGGGAAGGCGTGTTTGGTTTGGCCTGTGTTGAAGGGAGTGAGCCAGCAAGGAGTGGTGCTCCTCTGACCATCGACCGAGGGGCTCCCTTCCCTCCAAGCACTTAATACCTCCGTGTTTTGACAAGTTACTTAACCCCTTGGGTCTCCATTGCTTTGTAAGTAAAAAGGAAAGGGGAAGACCCACGATAAACCGTAACTGCTTGGAGACAGAGAGCGAACCAAACGATCACTTGAGGTCATTTCAAGGTCAGGGGGTCCATGAATCTGTACAGGAGGCAGAATCATATTGTGGTGAAGAATGCACTGCCAGGTCCTGACCGTCACCTTGGACAAGTTATTTATCTTTCTTGTACTTTCTTTTCCTAATGTGTTAAGTGCAGACCATAATAGTGTTGTTGTAAGGACTGAATGAGGTAGCACAAGTACATAGCTTAGAACAGAGTAAATAAATAATATTCATTGCTCCATAAATATTAGATGTGTTTTCTCTGACAACCATCTTCTGTAACAACCGCCCCATGATTTGAGCTCCAAAGAATTCCACACGAGGATCCTTAGGCTCCCACGAGGATCTGCAGTGGTCCTGTCTCCATGCTTCCATGGAATCTTTGCCTAAACTATCCAGGAGAGATGGGAGTGTGTGCCACCCAACATCATTTGGAGAAGCACCCTGAGGTGTCTGGTTCCCATGGCTGCCATCACAGCTGGTGGGCTTGCCTGTGACCAGAAAGTCCCCTCTACCTAGGAAAACTTGTGGGGGCCACAGCCACCGGATAGGAGGCCAACCACAAAAAAAACAGGCAGTTGGACAAAAGATCACAGCGAGGGTCTGTTTTCAAAGGTCAGAAAGTAACCTCAAGAGCCAACTCAAGCTCCCGTCCGCGGATCGATGTGCCAGGGACTCGTGAAACAGAATAATCTCTCCCCAAATTTGTTTTACTTAGTAAGGTCAATGATTCATTAATTAACCATTACTCATTAAAAAGGAGAGACACAACTTCCCAAAGCTCTGGGGATCCAGGGTTTTCAGAGCAGAGGCTGATGGGAGAGGCAGGAAGACAACATCAGCTTTGTGACTGGGCTTGGGGAGCTAGATAGCACTCGGGACTCTTCCCTTCCTTAATACAACGTTGAGTGTTCCTCCTAAATACGAATAATATGTGGCATGTGGGTGAGTCCATTCTCTAACAAACTCTGAGACCTTCAGGGGCAACTGCTGTCTTATTCATTCCAGAACATCTATCGAAGAAGAAGCATTGCAGATGCCGTTCCTTTTTTTTGGTTGTTTAAAATAAGAATTTATTTACTTTTTCTTTTTTAATTTCAATTTTATTTTCCACTTACAGTTTGCATATTATTTTGTATTGGTTTCAGGTGTACCATTTAGTGGTTAGACAATTATATACATGTGAAGGCATTAAGAAGCACAAATTGGTAGTTACAAAGTAGTCATGGAGATGTAAAGTACAGCATAGGAAATATAGCCAATAATATTATAATAACTATGTTCGGGGCCAGGTGGGGACTGGAAGTATCACAGGCAACACTTTGCAAATGCTTTTCCTTATTTAATGAAGGGGAAACCGAGGTCCACAGAAATAGAACCAGACCGAGATGGAAAAGCAGTAGAAAGACTTGAAATTCAACCACATTGTTGGATACCAGCTACTCAGGTAGCTCTTCCTTGATATTTTATTCTTTTTTTTTAGGGGAGATTGCAAATGCAGTCCCCCGCTACCACAAATGATGCAGTCGAGTTTCCCACATTTGGGGAAATCGTAGGGGTCAGCACATCCGGAGTACAATGGATAAACCTCGCCCTGGGACAACCACCTTCGCCATCATGGTACCTCCCTTGATTACTTGGTATCTTAAGCAAGGAGAAGAAAGATGTCTTCCCAAAGAATTTGTTGTTAATCCCCTCGCTTGACCAAAAGGAGAGCCAATATTTTGGAAAGAATTTTTTTTTTAAATCCCGTAACTGATCTCACTGCCTCTGGCACCTTCCCTTAAAATACAATTTCCTAAAACTTAAATCTGCTTATGTCATTCTCTGGGTTAAATCCTTAAACCACTCCCTATTGACTTTAGGATAAAATCCAAAGGCCTTGTAATAAGGCCATTTCTTAACTGACTCCTGCCTCCCTCACCAGCTTCATCCCTTCCTGCCCCCAGGGTACACACTCTCCATTCCAGCCACCAGAAGCTTCCACTGGCCCCAGTGGCCAGACTCGGTCTCTTTCCTCTTTTTCTGAGGTGCTGAGCATACTGCACGCGGCCTGCCCATCTCTTTCACCTTTCTAACTTCAACCCCGCCAAAGACAGATATCACTTCCTCTCAGATGCCTTGTCAGTTTCCTTGCAGGACACTGTGGAGACCCCTTAGCCCGGAGGTTTCACTACCTTTAAGTGATCCCTCTGCCAACAGGCCTGTGAGCTCCCCCTAGGGCAGAGGCTGGGAATATCCATGTCCACAGCCTCAACCCCCACTACAGTGCCTGGCACAAATAGACAGTAAATAGCAGATAAGTCATTAACAAATGCCTTTGTCTCATCTAAAGAAGGCCCCTTTCCTTTAGTAATTTTACATACAACTATTTATATTGATGTTTAATTACAACCTAGAAAAAAACAGGGAAGCAGAATCTATTGTTAATTACTCTGAAAATGATTATCACCTGCTTTATCAGAGAAATAAGACTGGCATCAATAACCAAAATCAACAGACGATCCAGAAGTCAATTCTAGCTGGTTTGGGGTGCATGACATTGTGGTATAAATATGTGTGTGTGGGGGTGGAGGGGAGGTGGGTGTGTATGGTATGAATGAAGCAGGAAGAGGTATGTGCAATTGTGTGTGACGTTCACTTTTACAGTTTGACCTTTGTTTTTGCTGACCATGCATATGTGCCTGTTCCCTGAGCACATACTCATTACCAGGGAGAGTGAAGGGGGAGAAATGGCAATTTGAGTAAAAATGAGTCTGGTACTGCAAAGCTATTGCCCAAAGACATACTACATACAGTCCACCAAATGGATAACACATAATACCTCAGGAATTTAGCAATAAGCTATCAATGTCCAAGACCCCTTTATCATGAAACCTCTTACATTTATGTTGTATACTGGAGTTTACAAAACACTTTCCCATTAAAGTACTCATTTGTTTCGGACAACGTTCTGAAAGGTCTGAAGAATATTTTTACCTCGCTTTGTTTTATCTCTAAATAATACAGTAAGCAACCATGTACCTACAGACAACACACACATTAGCACCTTGACAAGAACTTGCACCTGTCAGTGCTGTAGTCTTCGCCCATTCCATCCACTCCCCTACCCACAGCCCATCACAGTGCACTAAAGAAAACCATGGCTTCCCTTCGTATGCATTTCTAAAAAGCATATTTTCATTTTTGTTTTTTAAACTTTATGAAATGGGCATCATGCCAGAGAAAATCTTTGTAGCTTACTTTTTAGAATTTAAGATATATATTGCTAAGTTTCAACCATATTGCTACATGGAGCTGTGATGTATTCCTTTTGTCTGCTAGATAATATTTCATTATATGACTAACTATACCCTAGTTCATTCACCCCCTTCTCCCTCAACGGGTAATTGAGTTGTTTACATTTTTGCTCTTGGACATCACTGCTATGAATATTCTTGTACACATGAATCTCAGTATAGCATCCTTTGTGCCAAATCAGGCTACTTGTCTTACAAAGTGTTTTACTAGTTGTTGTTGTTGTTGTTGTTGTTTTAATTTGGCTTTGCAAGACAGGCACTCTTGTCTACTATAGGCCTCACTATCCCCTAATGCCTTATACATGGGCTACTTCATATGTTTATACTATTGCCTGGCCTCTATAGGCAAATGCGTTTGAGATCCCTGTGATTCCTAAAAATCTATAAATTCAGACTTATGGAAGAATAGTGGGTCCAAGAAAACGTGCTTTCCAATAGGGTGCAGAGAGAACTCGGTTGAATGCCCTGCATCTTTTGGATAAATTATCCCTCAGAACTGAACTGCATCTATTCTGCATCAAATGGGGTGAAGTATAATCTCAGGAGTCCGTGGGATTCATGGGATGGGACGTAAAATAAACAGTCGTTGAGGGCATGCGCTGCCACAATGAACCCTCCTATCAATTCTTAGAGGTATGTATTACTATCCCCATTTTATAGCCAAAGAACATGAAACGTAGGGAAGGTCATTGGCTTCCCAAGCTAATAAGTAGGGGAGATCTGGGACCTGAATATATTGCTGAACAACTGCATTTGAAGCACATGCACAGGACACCACAGCACTAAAATAACTCTCTGTTGAGAAGTCACTGGTTTTATAAGAGGCACCTAATTCAGCTCCCCATTAGCGCTGCAAGGTGGTTATAGCACTTGCTCTTGCTGCTTCATAGAAACAGGACATTGAGATCTAGGGGCTTGCCCAAGATCACCTGGGGAGTAACTGAAGGTCCTAAGTTATGAACAAATTCTCCTCACTCTCACATCACCTGCTTATTCCATACTGACCGAGCAGCAAGTTCTACCAAAAGGCCCCGCGAGGAGTCATTGCAGCTGACATAATGTGTTCCTACGGGATAGACCTGCAGGTCTCCTCACAGCCAGGCACAGAAGGCGGTGGCCTCTGGGGGGCAAGTTTGGGAAAGGAGAGAATTGCTGCACCTGTACTGGTCTAGACACTGAACATCCTCACCGATGTCAGTGTTGGGCTGCACTTGGAGTATAAACCTGCTAAATGAGGAGACACACACCACAGCTTAAAGATTCACTAATCTTCCTAGGAAGGAGAGAAATGTTAGGAAAGCAAACTTCCAAAGGAAAGCAACACGCTTTCTAGAAACCGACAAAGAGTGGGCAGCCCAGGCTACAAGTTTTAATGTGATGCCCTTCTCCTTCTCAAAGCAGGTTTAGAAGGCTGCAAGAATAAACTGACCATCACCGTTAGAAACTAATTAAACTTTGAATTGTTCTCATTCAGGTCTGGATCCTGAATGAGAACAAAGACCGTGGAAACCCTCCAGCTTCAGAATAGTCACCCAGAGGAGCCATTACTGGATTACTTACCAAAAATAATTCAAATTCTGACTCCATATCTGTTGAGACAGAGAATGTTCCCGAAATACTAAGATGCCATTAGCATGAGCTGCTTCAAGCTTTGGTGGAAGCTGCCTCTGCCTGGAACCACCCCACAAGGGGAAGGTTTGAGGTGAGGACCACTTGCCCTTCTTCAGGCACAGAACTAGACACAGAAGATGCAATGAAAATAAGATAGACTTTGCCCTCAAAGACCTCAGTTGGTAGGGAAGGCATGTACACAAACAGGGACAATCGGAGTACCGCATACAATGATAGAAGCGTGCAGCTGGGCCTGAAGAAGAGGGAAGAGCATCAGTACTCTCAGTGGTGGAGAAAACCATGTAGAAAAGCAGATGTCAGAGATGAGTTTTCAGAATGGATGCTCAAGTTCTATCTATTGGATCTCAAGCATACCCCTGCAACTCTTTCTCTTGGGCCAACGAAGGCGAGGTAGTTATCTCTTGTGTGGCAGAGAACTAACACTTTCCCTTGTAGAGCTGAGGTTCAATGGTCCTAAGACTGAAAAGCAAATGATCACCTTGAAATGCATCCCTACAGAGGATAGCCCTTTTCTACAGAAAAGATCTCTACCCAAGTGTTCTCTGCCACCTGGATTTGTTTCATACCTGGGGGGACAGAGGCTGAACTGATGGCTTCTAGCAGTAGCATCCTTCCTCTTATCTTTCTCCCTATTACCCAGCAATAATAGCAACCTTTTCTATTGTCTCAGAATCTCCAAGTTCAAACTGGCGTCTCTTTCTTCTGTGACCATCAGATAATCAGATGTGACTGCCTCCGCTTTCCTCTCCAGAGAAACTACAGGTTAATCCTGTTCCAAAGTGGTAAAGGAGACACATTAAGGGGGGGAGGGCGGGGAATTATCATCACCTACTCCCAGGCAATTTTAGCAGTCTCACTTCTCCTGCCCCCTCCCTCCCATCGAAGTCAAACAAAGCCAACCATTTCGTCCTGATCTGTCCCTTTCCCCGGCACTAAATAAAGCTAGCTACAGATGGCATGCACGGATTGGTGCTCCAAAACTCCCCAGTGCCCACTCCCTTCCATCAAGCTGGTTCCTAAATCTGTGGATGCAGCAGACTTCAGAAGAGGAAGCGCGTGATCACGCAGCATGAGCCTTGGCACAATGGAGTCTGGGCTATGCCAGGGCCACGATGCCCAAGTCTCACCCGCTCTGATGCAGCACTCGGATTGGCATCTGGTTGCCCCACTGCCCACATGATGGGAGTGTGGTTTTGAAAGCCAAGTTTCTCTCTCTGTATTGCACCCTGGGTAGTAGGTAAAGAAATGCATGATAAAATAGGGAGGAAGGAAAACATCACCAGGGGAAAAGTAGTTGAGGGGCTTGGAGGAAATACATCCCTGGATACTTTCTTCTCTGCTCATTAATTTCTCTGCGTACAGCTTTCAGCAGAGGGTCTTAGGAAGGGCCAGCCGAGGAAGAGGAATAAAGGGTTTGGATGGCTTTTCTTCCCTGGGAGTTCTTGTGCTGCTCCCAATACTCCTGCCCCCAGCCATCCCAGATCCATCCCAGAGCCCTTAACCACAATAATGCTCCTTTGTTGGTATTTATTATGTTCCAAGCATTGTGTAAAACGTTTATACTCATTTTCTCATTAGATCTTCAAGCAAAATTGAGGGCTAGTATCATTTCCCCCATTTTCCAGAAGAGAAAAAACAAGAGAGATGCTAAAGAAGTTGCCCAGATCACATAATTCTTGAATGGCAGAGGCAAGATTCAAACCCAGCTCTGTA